CAACCACTGTTTGTACACTGATTAAACACTTTTTACTTTCTCCAAAGGTTTACCTTTGACAGAGTGTCGTATAGTTAGGATCACACACTATGTATCATTTTTAGATTCGCTTTTTTTTCCCACTTAGTAGTATGCATTTGTGATTACTGTATTTTCATGGTTTTATAACTCATTTCTTCTTAACATTGAATATTTCATTGTGTTAGTCAGCTTTTTATTGCTGTGATCAAAATACCCGAGGAGAATAACTTAGAGGAGGAAAAGTTTATTTTGGCTCATGATTTCAGAGGTCTCAGTCCATGGTTGGCCAATTCATTATTCTGAGCCAGAGACATGGTGAACGGGAAGGGCAGAGGAAAGCTGCTCCACTCATGGCAATGAGAAAGCAAAGAGACAGCGAGTCCCCAGGGACAGAATATAAACCCCAAAGGTATGCCTTCATCGACCTACTTCTTCCACCATGCACCACCTGCCTAGAGTTAACATCTAGTAATCTTTCCAAGTTATTAATCCATCAAATGGATTAATCCACTGATTAGGTTACAGCTCTTGTAATCATTTCTGAACATTCTTGCATTAACACAGGAACTTTAAGGGGGAACCTCATATCCAACCATAACAAACTGGACGTGAAACAGTTTAACTGTTCATCTCCTGAATGACTTGCTTCCACATTTTTGCAATTATGAATAAAGTTAATAAAAATACCTGTGTGATGGATTTTGGTTGATGTAAGCCTTCAACTCCTTGGGATAAATATCAAGGAGCACAATTGCTGGATCACATGGTATGTTTTGTTTGGTAAGACATTGCTAAATAGTCCTTCAAAGTGGATATGATGTTTTCATTCCACCAGCAATGAATGAGATTTTATGTAGTGTTATGTTTTGGATTTTCACCATTCTAATATGTGTGCATTATATTTCACTGTTGTTTTATTCACATTTCCTTGATATGATGTGCCTTTTCTTTTCATATGCTTATTTGCTATCTCTCTATCTTGTTTGGTTTAAGGTATCTGTTATGGTCTTTGGTTCCTGAGGGATTTTTTTTTTTAATTGAGTTTTAAGAGTTCTTTGCATTATTTGAATAATAGCTCTTTAAGATGTATGTTGAGTGAATATTGTACCCAGTATTTGGTTTATCTTCTTATTCACTTGAATAACAGAACTTCTTAATTTTAATGAAACCAAGCTTATCAACTATGTCTCTCATGAATTGTGCCCTTGGTGTTGTTTTTAAGCAGTTGTTGCCAAATCCAAGATCATTTGGGTTTTCTCCTATATTATCTTCTAGGAGTTTACAATTCTGCATTTTACATTTAGGTCTTGCTACAGCTTAGAGGTGGGTTGTCCCCCAAGGATTCATATATTGGAGACTTGGTCTGAGTGCAGTACTATAGAGGTAGTGGGTACTTTAAATGGTGGGGCCTATTGGATGGTCATTATTGGCTTTCCTCTGCTTTCTGCCATGATGGTTAGCCAGAACTAGTGGTATGCTGTTTGGACTTTTACCCTCCCAAACTGAGGTCAGTAAATCTTTTTTTCTTTATAAGAACCTAGTCTTGGGTTTTTATTATAGCAACAAAAATGGACTAGAACTGTTTATGACACATTTTGAGTTAATTTTTATGAGGGGTGTAAGGTCTGTGTTTAGATTCATTTTTTCTTTCTTTCCTTCTTTCTTTCTTCTTTTTTTTTTGCATATGTTTGTCTGGTTGTTCCAGCAACATTTATTGAAAAGACAATATTTTCTCCATCATGTTGCCTTTGTTCCTTTGTCAAAGATTAGTTGAAAAATTTTAAGTGAATCTACTTCTGGACTTTCCATTCTGTTTTACTAATTTGGTTGTCTGATTCTTCACCAATGTCACACTGTCTTGATTACTGTAGCTTCATAGTGAGTCTTGAAGTCAGGTAGTGTTAGTCTTCTAACTTTGTTCTCCTTGAATATTGTGAGGGCTATTTTGGGTCTTTTGCCTCTTTTTGTAAATTTACTGATATTCACAAAATAATTTTCTGAAATTTTGATTGCATCTGAACTGAATCTATAGATTAAGTTGGGAAGAACTGATGTCTTGACAATACTGAGTCTTCCTATATATGAACATGGGATGTCTCTTCATTTATTTAGCTCTACTTTAATTTCTTTCATCTGAACTAGTAGTTTTCATCAGATTCATATACGTACACACACACACATAAATATACTGCTAGATTTATACCTAAGTGCTTCATGCTTGGAGAGATCATTCAAGTGGTATTGTGTTTCCAATGACCAAATCTAATTGTTCATTACTGGTATATAAGCGAACATATGACTTTTGTATTTGAATCCTCCAATTCTGCCATCTTGGTATGATCATGTATGATTTCCAGGAATTTTGTTGATGTTGATTCTTTTAGATTTTCTGCAGAGATTATGATGATGATGATGTCCATGAACAAAGACAATTTTAATTATTCCTGCTCTATCTGTGCACCTGTTTCTTCCCCTTCTTGTTTTATTTTATGTCTAAGATATCTATTATGATGTTGGAAAAAATGGTGACAAGTGACATCCTCAAGCTGTTCTTCATCTTAGTAGCAAAGCTTCTAGTTTCTCACCCATGTGGCTTTCTTGGTGCAACTTAGTGAAAGTTAAATCAGTAAAGTACCACCTTCTTCCTTCAACCCTAGCACACTAACCTTCCCTTTGTTCAATCTTTAAGGTAAAGGAAAACCTTAGTTTAAAAAAAAAAGGTGAAAAGGAAGCATATTTGTGCAATTGCATCCTTCAGTTCTTTGCTCCCTAATTCATTCCACAAATATTTATTTGCTATGACAAACAATACATATTTGTGGAAGAGGCACTGCTCCAGACTCTGGAGATCTAACAGTGAACAAAAGAGAAAATTATCTTTAGCGCTTTAGGAGCTCATACTCAAAGGGAATGATAGATCAAAAAAGTAAATACATATGATGTGTAATCACTGTAACAGCCCTTAAGCAAATTAACAGGGCGATATGCGAAAGGACGATGGGCATGGACTACACAAGGTTGGGTGAGCAAGGAGGGCCCTCTGAAAAGATCATGGGCCAATTTGCAGAGTAAAGGAAAGAACTTTCTAGGCAAAGAGAATGGCTTAAGGAAAGATCCTGAGATATACGAAAGAACTTGGTAATGTCAAGACACAGAAAGGGGTAAGATAGAGGTAAATAAGGGCAAGATAAAGGGAAGAGTAGCATGGAAAGTTGGAGAAGCAGGAAATCAAACTCAGAAATAAGGAGAGAAACAAGCAGGCAGGTGTTTAAGAAACTGAATAAAAGAAATCAAGTTTCCTTTTCAAAAGATGATGTACACGAGTAATCACTGTCAGTGTCTTTAAGCACCCCCTGTCCTTGTCTTCTAAAACCAAAATGCTTGGTAACCTTTGCTTTGCCACCTCTTGAGTTGTGGCAGATGCTCTGACTTAGCTAACACAGGCCTTCCTGCCCTGGTTTAACTCAGACAGACCTCATTTTGAGGCCAGGGGAAGGCACTTTCCATATGCAGATCAAGTAATTATTCAATAAAAGTGACCTAACTGAGGGTAGACAAACATACTAAATATTATCCATTTTCCCATGGGTTTTTTTCCAAATCAAAATCTTTCCCTTTGGTTTATGAACTCATGTGGATTTGAAGGCAAACAATCTGGATGGTTCTGATTCATTTGGATTTAACTAATTACCATGTCATTCTTTTACAGTAGTTTGAAGTTTAAGAAACCTCCTGAGACTTATTAGTTTTAAAAAATAACACAACTATTTAACTTTAGAAGACTTTTAACTTTTTCTTCTTAAGAACAGGAAATTATGATTTCATAAACACAAATAAATGAAAAATCCCAATTCTGAGTTCAGTTTATAACATAAAAATTTATGATGTTTGTGTAAGTATCAAATTAGCCAAATATATTCACACAAACATGATGTAAGAAAATCAAGCTTTGGTAACACGACCAATGGTCATGTAGTGTAGAAAACTATAGCACGTTACTTGAGGCAAGAATGTCACCCTGCTTACTTTCTCATTTCACTTCAATGCAGCAAGTTATCAAATTTCAAAGGTTCTAGAAATATCAGACCTTTAGAAAAAAAATCATCTAATCTTAAATAAACACTGCTTGCATAGACTTTGTAGGATGTCATTTTATGGGGTAAAGCACTTTTGGTTGCCAGTGATTAAATAATCAACCCAAACTAGGCTTAAGAAAGATTGATCTGATTGGTTTATATGGTTGAAAAGAAGTCAGGTAGAGGGGTGTCAAGGTATGGGAAAATTCAGAGACTCAAACAAAACATTCAAATTTAGAAACTCAATCATTAGAATGCAGTGTCTTTCCAACTCCAAGATTTGGCTTCTTCTCTTGCCTTCATATAATGGCAACATGATTTTAAGAAACTTGAGGTTAGGTTATTCAGTATGTCCACTGAAGCCAATTAAGAGATTAAAAAAATTTGCAGTAATTATATTGCTACTGCCTAGACCTATGATTGGGTCAGGAGATCATTCCTGAGCCAATCAGAGTGTTTAAGCAATATGGTCCTGTGATTGGCCAGTCCTCAGTTATGTGAGCTAAATATTCCATGTTATCCATGGAACAAGGGATTTGCATGAATTTTGCTTAAACCCCAAGAATAAAAATGGAGAAGTGGCAGTTCATAGGAAACTTGAGGTATTATTCCTAAAGAAAAGGTAATAAATATTGGATAGTAAAATAAATAATCCAACAACATCAACAAAAAGCCAAATGAAAATGTCCATACTTAACTATACATAAGGAGCCCATTCATCTGATATTGAATCTCTTGATGGGGAAAGTGAAATAGCAGCCTGGATTGAAGTCCTAGCTTTGTCATAAATCACCTAGTTGATGTGGCCAAGTCCCTTCACTTCTCTGCTCCTTGGTATCCTCATTTCTAAAAGGAGGGGACTGAACTCAATGTTCTCTCCAAGTTTTTTTTTTTTTTTTCCAGCTCTGAAATGGTAATGATCCCAAGCTTGCAAAACGAGAATGGGAAGATTCTCCTGGCCTAGGATTTCATGGAAAAGAAAACGGAAGCAAGCCCAGGTGCAGGGCAGAAAAGGGAGCCAGCGGACCCTGGGCCATACAGCAAAGGAAGCAAAGAGAATGCACAGGGGACCGAGGTCAACTCCAGGACAGGACATCTCTCTGCAAGCTGAGGAGCACCCTCCAGTCTCCTGACGCCTCTGTGTGTGAGTGCACTGGAGCAGTGGTGATAGTTGCCATAGAGAGGGATAAATAGACTGTTGTTTGGTGCAATAACTTGGTTGCTGCCAGAAAGTTTCACACTCAAAATAAATATTATATATGGCTCTGATCAGCAGTGCCTAATCCTGAAAGAAAAACATATACAGTATGTTTTCCGAGGTGTTGTGTTAGAATTCCACATGTCCATAATGTCCCATCTAGAAACTTTTAAGTTATATGTATTTTGAAATTTAATTTTTTGGGGGATACAAAAAAGAGAGCATAAAACATGTACCCTATATTACCAAAAGTGGGGTTGAGTGTAGCACCCTATAATCATATTTCTGCAGTAAAATACATGAATGTTTTAAATGGTCTCTGTTTAGTCTAGATCAGGTGGTGTTTTTGAAAAATCTCAATTTCTGGAGTTTCTGGGATTTTGCAGTAATAGGTAAAGAATGGAGTATTTGATTGGGATCATTTTGGATAAAGCAACAACAAACAAAAAACAAGAACAAAAAAGGGAATGGCATCTGGGATGTCATTGAATAAGTTAAATCATTTTTCTTTATTAATGTCAAGGTACCTGAAATTCACCTTCTTGTCTTTTTCTTTTGTGAAAGTCTATAGTAAGTGTTTAATAACCAATTGTAAAATGAATATGTTCTATCCATCCCTGGCATATTGGCCACTTCATCATCCCAACATCTTGCACTGGGCAGCCCACATCAGTTCTTAAGTGACTTTGTAGCATTTTGTAACATTTGATGGATCCAGTACTTTCCCTGGGTAGGTCTTGGTGTGTGTCTGTGTTTCTTCTGATTTTTATCAAGCCACATTGTATCTAACCCTCTGGATAGCTCTTCTTGATTTCTTTCTTGGGTTACTTTTTCCTCCACCCATTCCCTTTTGTTGGTTTTCCTCTTGTATATCTTCCTTGGATAAGTTAGTAGAACACCTACTGTGCTCATTTATTATTATTATAATGAAAATGTCTGAGACAACTTAAAAAGAAGAAACACTTATTTTGGCACATGGCTTTAGAGGTTTCAGTCCACGGTCAGCTGGGCCATTGCTCCTGAATCTATAGTGAGGCAGCCCATCATGGTGAGAGAGCTTGGTGGAGGAAGCATCCTATCTCAAGGTAGCCAGGAAGCCCAGAGAGAAAGAGGAGGGGCTAGAGTGCCAATATCCCCTTCAAGGACACACCCCCATGACTAGTTTCTTCCTCCATGTAGAAATTTTCTACTACCTCTCAAGAGTACAACTGACCAGGGAAAAGTTCTTCAAAAATGGTGTCCCTTTGGGGGACAAACAAAATCCAAACTACCACTTGCATGCTCACATTTGCAAAGCTGCATCTCCAACTCATCCAGATCTTCCAAGACCTGTGTCCTATTGAGACAAATCTCAAATCAGTTGTGCTTAATGAGTTTCAAGTTAAATTTATTATTACATACCCCTCCGTCTTTTCTCCTATTATTCACTACACACACTCCCTACTTTAGTTAAAGGAACCACCATCCATTCAGGAACTCGAGAGAGACTCTTGAAATGTTACCTTCTATCAGTCATACCTGTGTATATGTTTCCCACACATTTCCTTTTCTCCATCATTTACTTTGCCACCATTTTAATTGTGAACATCACCAGCCTTTGCCTCCATCATGCATGGACCTCCTGACTTTCTTGCCTGTCTTCTCTAGAATTCACTCTCCCCATTCCTGTGAGATGTCTTTTTTCAAAGAAACTCTATCATGAGTCTGCATCAATCCTGGGTCTTTCCTCCCTCTCAAGATCAAGTCCAAACTTGAGACACTGCCCTCTAGGTGACCTGGCCTCTAAATTTCAGACTAGCATCTGGTTCCCACTCTGTACCCTGATCACTGGGTACTACTTATAGTTCTCCCAACACATTTAAGCCATTTTTGACTTGTTCCTTTGCACGTGGTATCCTCATTTTCTAAAACCACTTATCCTTCAAATATCTAATTAGTTTATATTTATGATTCAAACCGAGCTTAGACATCTGCTTCTCTGGAAAGTTTTTCTGATCATGCCCATCTGGGATCATTATCATTCTCTGCACACCTACAGAACTGTTTTTTTTTTTTTTTTTAAATTTCCTATTTATTTATTTATTTTGCAGTACTGGGAATTCAACCCAGGGCCTCACGCATACTAGGCAAGCACACTACCACTGAACTACAGCCTCAGCCCAGAACTGTTTCTAATCCTATTATATCGTAACGTGTAACGACTATTTTCTTTTATAGGAGTCTAGCTTTTTGTGAACAGAGGCCGGAAAGTATATGACCTCACTTCCTAGAACAATGCCTGACCCATAATATCCTTCAATAGACTTCTGTTGAATGAAGAAATGCATGAATACTGTTTTAGTCAGCTTTTTTTTGCTGCTGTGACCAGAGGATTTGACAAGAACAATTTTAAGAAGGAAAAGTTTATTTGGGGGCTCACAGTTTCAGAGGTCTCAGTCCAGAAACAATCAAATCCATTCCTTGGGATCTGAGGTGAGGCAGAACATCATGGTGAAAGAGTGTGGCAGAGGAAAGCCCTTTAGGACATGACTCCAGGAAGCAGACAGATTCTGCTCACTAGGGACAAAAATATATACCCCAAAGTCACACTCCCAGGGACCCACCTCCTCCTGCCACCTCCTACCTGCCTACAGTTACCACTCAGTTAATTCCTATCAGGGAATTAATTCACTAATTGGGTTAAGGCTCTCATAAACCAATTATTTCACCTCTGAACCTTCTTGTATTGTCTCATATATGAACTTTTGGGGGACACCTTATATCTAACACACACACACTCCTCTTCCACATATTAAGATTCCTATAAAACATCCAATATGTTTTCACTTTACTAAAGAATTCACTGTTGGCTCATCAACTCCAGGAAACTTTTTTTTTTTTTTTATGATTCAAACTACTAGTTATCATTCAGGATGAAATTTTCAAAAGGTTGTTCTGCAGTAACCATCCCTAATCTCAGAGGTCAAATATCCCCAACTCATCACATGGGCTCTGGCAGGACTGCTTCACCATGTGCCCAGAGTCTTGGAATATTTGTACTATTGGATAACCAGCAGTCTTTCAAATTTGAAGACTTTCAGCTTGTTTTTCTATACTTAGAACTTTACATTTTTGAAGAAAAAACATACCAATGAATATCACAGATTGCTTTTTAAAAAAGCAATGTCTACGGCAATATGAATTTATTTTGTTTTATTTTCCCTCCCTCAGTATCTGAAGTCCTAATTCTCTGAGCCTCTGAATCCATTTTTAAATTACCATTACTTAATTATCTTTAATTGTTTGTATTTATCGGGAAGAGCGTGATAATTTGATACATGCATACAATAAATGATCAAATCAGGTGAGTTAGCATTTCCATCTCCTTTAACGTTTAAGAAATTGTTGATTAAACATATGGTCATTGTACATATTTATGGAGTACAGTGTGAAATTTCAATACTTGTGTACTGTGTGTGCTGATTGGATCAGTGAGGTTTGTGATTCCGTCTCCTTATAATTACTTTGGGTGCAGAAATTTTGAGCTCCTCTCTTCTAGTAACTTATAAAATATATCATAGATTATTGTGAATATAGCCACCCCACAGTGCTGCAAATCACTAGCACTTAGTCCTTCTAGCTGTTTTGGTATCCACTATTTTACCTCAATTCTCCCTACTCTCTTTCCCCTTCTCAGCCTCTGAGCCTCTAAATCTGGAATCCTCTCCCTGTTCACCACCTACCATCTTTCCTTAATTTTTCCTTTCTTCCTTCTTTCCTTCCTTCCTTCCTTCCTGCCTTCCTTTCCCTCCTCTTATTCCCCTGACCATCATCTCTTCATGTCTAGATTGTAGCACTAGCTTGCTGCTATCCTCAGTCTCTTGTCATTCATCCCACACATAGCAGCTAAAATAAACCTATTAAAATACTCATTTGGGTTACAGTGTTTCTCCAGAGCTTACAGAATAAAATATTAAACCGATATCTTATCATCCAGGCCTGTTTCAATTTGTTTCCTGCCTCCATTGTGACCTGATTTTCTCATTAACTTCTTGTGAAAGTCTTTGGATCATGCAAAGGGAGCCTCCTTGAACCTTTTTTTTTCTTATCTGGACTGGTTTAACGATGACAGTCCCTATCTCCTAGGATTGTTTTGAAGATTGAATGAAGCAATATATGAAAAGCCCCTGTCGCATAACCCTGACATAGTCAACCCTTGATATTACGGTGGCACCCTGTTAAGAATACATATTACTCTTTTGCAGTATTCTAGTATCACCCTTCTTTCTGTAGGATTTTCTGAGACTGATGAACAAATGCCAATCCTTCATATAGAAAAACTAGATAAACGGCTCTAACTCAGTTCTTTGCAATTAATAGCTTCAGTTCTTATCATCCAAGGGATGGCTGGTTCTTATAGTCCATAGTTTTGATAAGTTTGTGACTGCTAATAGCTAAGCAGCCACACAAAGCCCTGATTAGTTTGAAGATGAAAGAGTCTGCCTTTTGAGTTACCAAAATCTACCTAAATCTCCTCATAAGGAGATTTTGCTTGTCTCAGGGTGGGATGGCACATTATAAATTCACTGAACTTGTAACATCAAAGTGGTCAAAGGACGTCACACCATCCTCTGGCACCCTTGCTCAGAACAGGTGGTGCGCTTGCCCATGCATTAGAAGTGCACTCTTACTTAAAATACTTGTAACAAGGCTATGAAGATGCACTCATATCACACAGAGAGTACTAAACCAGGAGGCTGGGAACCTGGTTTCTTACCTCTATTTAGAACTAGTGGTGTGATCCATTAGCATCAGTTTTTTTGGAAGATTGCAAATAATATTTATCTTCTTAAAGGACTCTTGAAAGCCAGATATGGTGGCACACACCCATGATCCCAACACATGGAAAGTTGAGGTGGGAGACCTTGTCTCAAAATAAAAAGGGCCGAGCGCAGTGGCTCATGCCT